GCACAAGTGCACAGGTGCAGACCTGTGTACGTGGCACGTGTGTATATTCATGTTCTTTTGTAAAGCACAACTGGAATGGACACTCTAGTGTCAGATGGTGCAATGAGTCAGACCCCAGTGTGTATTGAAGCCCCTTTGGGATGTGGGGGAGGAACAGAGAAGGGTAGAGCATGTGGGGTGTTTGGAGAGGGGCGAGGGGGACAGGGGTGTGTTCGGGGAGATGGTGGGAGAAAGCAGGAGAAAAATTGAGCGGGGGAGGGTGGAGAGAGCATAGAGCCAACCACAGCAAGAGCCAATCACAGTGACTATGTTCTGGAAGCATCCAATTGCAGCTAACCTGCCCACAGGCTACGCACATTTAGCATAGCCCCCCTCCCTTAGGCTCATGCTAATTTTCACCTCCTGCCCGTGCCGATGGCAGGTGATCTGGCTCAGGTGGCAGATGAGGCCAAACAGAAGGTAGAACATGTGTACCCAGGCATACATTATTCTGCACGTGGGGACACAGTTAGGCAGTCCAGCATAGCTTGGTCTTAAGAGTCAGTCTTATGTCTTATCATCTACAGCAATGGGATGGCATATGTGACCGTACGTGGATTTGTCGTGCAAGTTATATAGGTTGTTTATCCTGCATCATTTTGGGACCTCTTTATTAGTAGCAGCTCTTTTAGAGTGCTTCAACAAAACTGAGATTTTGGATCACCGTTCAAAGGCCATGGCAGTTGATCTTCAGCAAGGTATGTAATATTATTGATTGCATAAAGTAAAAGAGAATGTATTTTATTCAGTTCTATTTTGAAGTTAACTCTGTGTAACTGTTTGACTTGGCAACAAGACTGCTGCTGGCTGGAAACATTTGTGCTCTGAACTTATGAACTGCATTATGACAAACAGGAGAGAGAGAGAGAAAAAAAACTACAACATGTCTTGCTGATCTCGACATTTTTAAATTAAATTAAGTTTTGTATAACATCCATATATGTACACATACTTAAAAAGGTTTGGTGTGTGTATGTGTGAATAGTCTCAATCTGGAGTGTTATTGACACGGGGCATATTTTATCATCAAAGTGAGGTTAAAAAAAAACTTCTGAAAGTTTTTAGTGGTGGGGGGGGGGGGGGGGGTGATCCCCCCTCTCTGATGCACTGCTTAGATTTGGTTTATTTAGACAGCCTCGTGTTCTGCGTGGTGTGTGCAAGGGCACGCGCCCGGTGGGACTTGAGGTATTAGAGCACTACTCTGGCCACACAGAGTCCATGCCTGTCCCTTCGCGAAATTCAAGGAAACATAAAATTCCTGTTGGTTTGTGTCTGCGTGGAGAGCGGGGGAACTTGACCCGAGCGTGTTAGCGTCCACTGTGCCAAGAATGCTTTGGGAGAATAAGCCTCAACTAACCCTCTGGAGGTTCCTTCTAATCAAACCTCTGTTTTTTTTGTTTTCTTCACCTGTTGTGATCACGAGCACACGGGCCGATGGTGTACACGCAGTGTCGTAATGATGTTATTGTTAAAAGGGATTGCTACTCGCTTGTAAAAATCTACCGTAATTGTTGGAATGACGTACAGTTGTTGTTGTTGGTATATTGCTCTGGGGAAGAAAAAAAAGAAGCCTGCGAAATCAGCGAGGGCCATCGTTGTAATTGAATCACTTGAGTCCCGATGGGATTGCTTGCCTCGTGTTACATGTTGTGCAATGTTTTTTTATGCAGTTATTTATATCATTTTTGAGTTTACCCCCCCCACACACACGATTGTCGGTTAACAAACACATTAATACAAACTGAGAACAATGAAAGTTACTGGTTGGGTCAACATTTACTAAGAGTCTAACATATAAAAGCTAATATTACCAGATGCCTAACTCTAAACGCCACCCCTTGTGACCCGTGACCCTAACTGTAACCCTATACCTTTATTTTTTGGCATTAGTCTTGAAAAAAGTAGACCTACAGTTGAAAGGACCAAATACAATTTTTTAAAATATTTATTTTGAATATTAAACATACACATAGAGTATGTACTTCTCGCTTAAAATCAACTGCATTACATTGAACACTAAATTACATTTTCAGTGGCACATTAAGGTTTTCCAATTTGTGCAGAAAGTTCTACAATAAAAAAAAACTGTCATATTTTACAGTAACCAGTGATTTATTCATTGGAGAGCAAAGTGTTCCTCTAAAAGTATTGCCAAGACAAATACACGCTATTGAGTGGTGCGTTGCATGTTGGATAAGAGTCGAGTCTTTGGGGTCGCAGGGAAGACCACACAGCTTGTACCAAGGCAGGAAGCCTGTACGTGTCTGCTCTTTGTCCCTGATTGAGTTCGGGTTAACTTCAAACATTCTGGCACCTCTGGTCTCCGTGTGTGTGTGTGATGCTTCATGCAGGTGACTGCCCGGCATATGGATTGGCTCTTGAACATTTGCGAAGTTCTTCACCACCAACTTGACTCCCCACCCTTTGCAATTCCCCACCAGGGTGCGACTTAATTTGCACCTGTTCCTGGCAGGCGGCTGTTACTGCGTCGCTTGTGTATCTGTGTCCGTGCGTGCATGTGTAGGCGCGCGTGTGTGCGCGCGCGCGTGTGTGTGTTTGCGTGCTCACGTGTGCATATGCACGCGCGGCTGTTCACGCCAGCAACAATGAGCTTTCTGTGCGCTCGCCTTGTTAGTTAGTGCAGATCAGTGAGCTTTGGGAGCGAGTGGATCTGAGATCCCTGGGCTCATTGCCGCTTGTCGGCTCTTGGAACGAGTCACAGCAGGTGCCAGAGGAGGCATGGAACGCTGCATATAGCAAGGTGTCTCAACACCGCTTTACATTTTAATGAACTCGGGTCACAGCTTCAAGGCAGTGAAGCAATGTGGTTTGCTGGTGTGTGTGTGTGTCATGCTGTAGTCATTTTTTTTCTTTTTAAGGCAACGTTGGTGACAAGTGTGTCATTTTTTGTTTGTTAATTTTTATTTGTAAAGTCATAGGAGTGGCAGGAGCGGTACAAGATTGTAATAATTGGGTCACTTTCATATTGACTTGTTTTTTGGGCATGCAGCTGCCGAGGGAATCTTCATCATGAGCAATGTTTAAAGTTGCTGCTGCCGGGTACATTTCTCCAAGCCAATGCCACAGGCCCATGGTCAGTTACTTGGGGCATGTTGCCGCAATCAATATCACTGGTACATGTCCCGAGAATTCATCGTTTTATCTCATCTTTGGTTGTCGCCTAATTCATGCTATAAATCTCTTTGCCGTTATATAAATCTCTTTGCCGTTATTGGGTCACTTGAGATTCGTCCATCGGTTGACATTGCTGTGAACAGTAAATGTCCTGCCAAGGTCCGGTTGTGTGATCGTGATGTTTCGGGTTTTAGATTGTTTTCTAAAATCTGAATTTCTTCTTTCAGCTTTACACGTCGGTACAATTTGTGCTTGTTACTCTGTTTTGTGATGTTCAGGTTTTAAATACATGATAGTGATTCATATTGCGGCGGCACTGATTCATAGGTCATAGCTGGCAGCCATGACTACTAGATAAGCAATCAAATTATATTGTGTCTACAAATACAACACTATGTAGTTTACAAGAAAGTAAGGAGTGCACAAAACACAGTACCAATTAATATTGTTGAAGTTTAAAATAACCACAATAGTCTCAACACAAGAATAGTATATAAAATATAGCATATGAATCATGTATTTTTTTTCCATATATTTTACTGTGGGTTTATGGCAAAGAAATACAAGCGTACAATGTGAAATATGCACGGTGCTGTAATTCTATAGTCAATCAAGCAATTGAGTTACATAAGGCCCTTCCATGGATGTGGCAGCTTTCGTGGGTTTTAAATTCATGACCCTACTAAGGCTTTTGCAACACAATTCTCGGCCGTTTTCAGGGCCGTCATAAATTTAAATTGCTGATGCGAGCAGCGTGGAAATCTTCAATTCATGACGGCAGTTGAATTAAAAACAATAATAATTTATGATGCCGAATTCACGTGTACGTGGGAGTGTGAATTTGCAACTTTTAAACGACTTGCCTTCTGTTGAAATCCCAATAAGCGTCGAGTAGATCGAATGATATCTCTTCCAATGCCACTCTATTCATAATCATCAGCATCTCAAGCAGTTCTCAAGATTAAAGTACGTGCAACTAAATTGTGGTTAGTTTGTCGAATATACGAAAACACCTCAAATCTTTAATCACTGCACAATATGATTTAATGTTGGTTCATTACTATGACCACAATTAGTTGCATTGACCTGTTGAATTACTTTGGGAATTTTTTTAATGGAAATATATTTGACTCTTTTGAATGTATTGGCTTTCTCAACGTTGGGAAAGTTTGGCCATTTTCCAACCTGACTGACAACGCATGGGCAGTTGTGCCATGTCAAGCCTCTAGACAAAAAGGGGACAGGGATTTTCATTGGTGCAGTTCGCTGCAAGGTGCTGACCCACTCTCTATCTCACCTGACGTCAACGCACCCATGGAAACAGCTAGATAAGAGACACTTTACCCCACTACAGAATTATATACATAAACAATGCCTGGCAAGTTAGCAATTTCAGAATGTTTTCACGTTTTGTCTTTTCTGATTTTGCATGCTGACTGGAATTATTTGTCTTAAAAAAAACGAGAACATTATTGAGTTGCTGCCCCTGATAGTTATTCAGCTATGAGTGCGCTATGTGACAGGCACTTATAGAACTTAGAAATCTACACCAGGGGTCACTTAATTTAGATATATATTATCTTGTCTGTGGCTGTTTACCTTTCGACTGAGAATGTAACCTTGTTCCTCTTGGATTGTAAAATACATCACATTGCCCGTCACAGCATGCTGGCTTCTAGCTGCTGCTGCTGCTGCCACCGCAAAGATACGCTTCACGCTGAGAACGGCAATTGGGGTAACTGACACGTGCTCGGTAGATGTGCTCTTGTGTTGCACCGCGTTGCTGATTTGTGTGCGCCTGGTCCCCCTCGTGTGTCGCTGCGCAGTGGTGAGCTTCGAGAACGTGGTGATGCGAGAGTGTGACCTGGAGGAGGATGATGACCGGCTGCACATCGTGGAGGACGTGGAGGACCAGGAGGACGAGGATGACGATGATGATGGGCGCGTGGGGATGAACGACGGCCAGAGCGAAACGGCCGATGGTGGCGGTGAGCCCAGCCCTTCGCAACCAGCCGAGATGGCCCCTCTGGTCAGGAGGAGGGGCCGGAGGAGAAAGGGAAGCTTCAACTCAGATGAGAAGGACCATGCTGACCATGGTATGCAGCAATACTAAAGCTGGAGTCTTCCAGACATTCCGTTACACATGCATATTGAAGTGATGTTTTGGTTTGCTGCACAGCAGTTGAAACATTGTAGTACCCTATTCCCTAGGTTATCATTACACTTTTTCCTGTTTTTTTCATCAAAAGTTTGGATTGAGTTTTATAGTCCAGAGAAAACATTTGTCTTTTAGAAGACTTGGTTTAATCTAGTTGTTTCGAATTATCATCTGAAAAACGATTCTCCATACCAATACAGTATCACCCAGAGGGCAGAAGACTAACACCAGCCATTCAGAATAGTCTTTCAGGAGACATTTGTCCCAATTTTAAATCGGCACGTTGATAATTGTCTTTTGGAAGATGGCTCTCCCTGGTGCCATATTCTTCCGATGGCAAAGCACACTTTTTTTTCTCAAAATAACCCGACATTTTCAGAGTGCGTCTTACTTCAGAGAATACACGAACGAATAATGCCCTATTATTATTCGCGAAAGCTTCACTATCAGCCTCAAGACTCTTTCATTAGGGTCCTGTATTGTGATGCTTGGCCAATTCTTTTAATGATTGCCGTGCATGTAGGAGGAAACCAGAGTTCTCGGGGCAAAGCCACTCGTGCACAGGATCGCACGCGCAGCTACGACAGAGAAAGTCAAACGAATTTTCGTACTGCCATCTCCTGGTCACCTCTCAGCCCAGATAGGTTTGGGAGTTTATCACAAATATGCGTGATCCACCGGCCTTCAGCTTGCCAAAGTTCTGGACCATAGGCGTGCACCCCTTCAAGCCTGGCTCTGTTAACACAGCAGGAGACAATGGGTTGCCAACTAAGTAAAGAGCAGGCAATGAAGGTAAATGGAATAACGTGACTCATTCAGCAGAATGTATACATGTTTGCCCCAAAATAACATTTGAATCAAATCGTGTGTTTGATGTCTACTTGCAAAATAATTACATTGGGGAATAAAGCTTCCAGGGAGAAGCGAACAACTTGAACATATCAGCATGCAGCAAGGAGCTGTTAAAGGCCTTCATGCAATTATGTATCTATGTTGTAAGGGTAATAATAATGCCGCTTCAATATGTACTTCAATAAAGTATGTCTAAACCTGTGTACGTGGTGTAGCTCATGTCGGTTGTTGTGAGTAGTTACGTGTTGACTTTTAATATTGTGTTTTACTTTGTTGGAGGAATGTTGTACTTCTGTCATTTGCATGTGCTGTGGATCCTAATCCCTGTCTGGTTTATTGGCTAGATAAGCGTTGAATTGCTTTGAACTACGCGCACTTTTTAATATCCCTTGACAACAATGAAGTTTGTTTCTGTGCATTTCCATTCATGTGTAGGTGCAAAGGCTGTTCTTGCATTTAAATTTCAGCAAGTTATTATTATTTATTTTCAAATCCGTGCTGCGAATATAATTTTTACAAATATATTTGCATAATGGAACACAAATAATTGTGTATGTGATTGCAATATGAAGTGTTGAACCTAAGGGATAATACTTGCACTATTTCTGCAGGTATGCAGCATACTCCATAAAGGTGGTCAGGTTAGTGGTCAGAGTGTCTATTGAAGTGACCCATCTGCGACCAGCCAGAGGCACAATAAGAACTCAGTGGTCCCTAATAATCAAATCTGTGTACGCATGGCCAGGTAACTGCACAGGTGTGCTTAGGCAGGTGCAGAGAGGGTGATGTCTATTGGGAATTGGCTTGCTTCACCTGTTCACACAGGTCAATAGTCACCTCTCTGTCTCTCTTATGTGCAGAGGACGTGAAGGATCAAAGTGATGGCCTGGGGCTTGAAAATCTACTTCTGTCCCAAGTGGAGCCAGGTAAGTTTTGCAGAGAGCTGTTCTTGCAGTGTTCTGAGCTCACAGGTTGCATATCCACCGCTTGAACAATGGCTAACCTGTGATGTCGCCATCCATCACAGTCCTGCAATACCAGTATCCATCAGTGGATTATTATTGATCGTCAAGCGCATGATGCAGGTATCAAATTATATGCGTAAGAATCAATGTTTCTCCATTCGTATATGTCGTAGGTCATGGGTTCATGTGATCCCTCCAGACACTAGATGCCGCTAAATTGAATAGGATGTAAAAAAAATTATGGATTCTTTAATCGAATCGTGACCTTGCATTGAGAAAACATTTTAATCACAAGGGGTGATAAATTATTCAATCCCAAAGTATTTTTTTAGAATCCCCAAAAATATACAAACACAAGCATAATTTTACGACTAAATAAGTAAAATTGTGGAATAAAATAAAATACCAAAAAATATTTTCTCACTGGATAACACCTCTTGTCAATGAAATTTCGTAGAAAAATGCTATCATAGTTACATAAGTGCGGTGGGGAATGTTGAGTTTATAGTGAATTAAACACAAGTTAATCACATATACATACCACTTGCTTCTATTAGACATTGTAAATATATATTTTGTTAATATGCTTAATTTGTCGGGCAATATTTTGAATCCAAAACATTACATTTTTTATGAAAATTGGTGAAAACAAATGGGTGCTCATCACAGAACTTTAGAATTAATCTGAAACGTCATCCCTCTTACTGGAAAAAAAGAAATCGGAAAAACTTTCATGGAAAATATTTTAACAGTGAAATCTGCAACTATAAATATTTGGCCCTGTTCATTTATTGATAGTGGGTCTGTAGACATACATTAATAATAAATGTGTTTGATGTGGCTGGATGGCACCAGGGGCCAAGGCTATGTCTGAACGTCTGATTTCAGGTATTAAGCAAACACGCTGAATTCCTGTATTCAGATATTCCATTGGAGACAAGACCAGGTTCTTCATGAGTTTGACGGTCTGAGTCCATTAATCAATTCGGGAAGATAAAGAAAGATGCAGCTCTGCAATTAAATTCTCAGACCGCTGATGGAAGAACGGTCTCTGAGAGAGGGATCCCTACAAGGCCCCTCTCTAGGGAACGTTGGCCCACGTTTGCATGCTGGCTAAAAGTCATAATTTACTGCACACAAAAAAAACAAGTATAAATTTGACATTGCACTCATTTCTATCACCCCATTTCTAAGACCTTAATTGGTAGTGTAAATGACCACTCACTTACCTGCAGAGCTAAGGAAACATGGCTTTTAGGGCCAATGCATGACATATGCTTAAAGCATTTCAACTCAGAGCCTGCAATGCATCTGTCTGGCTCTTGAGGAGAGACAGATTCCTCTGAGTGCAAATGGGTTGCGAGTGTGAGTGATGGACAATAAAGCCCTGAGCCGAAGATCGCCTCGTGTAGACTCAGTTGCATTGTTAATACAAAAAATATATCCATACTCAAATGCAAAATGGGATGATGCTCATCTACACGTGTGACGCTGGGCCACTGGTGGAAACTCCAAATTCCCCGAGAGAGGGCTGTTGTCTCCACAGGATGACAACTCAGTCGTTTCCATTCTTCACGAATAACATTCTGAATCGACCTCAAACCAGAATTCTGTGAGGAATTGAACAAAGTATAAAATGTGAATCGTCCCGTTCAGGCACCATAGCGCAACTGGGATACTATGTTGTGCCACCCCCCCCCCCCCCCCCACAGCGGTCCCATCGGAGGAGACCCAGGCTGGGCCACACGAGGCAGAGAAGGAGTTGGAGGCGGACGCGGTGGAGGCGGAGGGCGAGGACGAGGAGGCCATGGTGGGTGGCAGCCCGGGAGCCACCGCCCCCGTTGAGGGAACCCTCGCCGAGTTCCTGCAGCGGCACGACACGGCCATCATCTACCCCGAGGACCCCGATGAGGTGTCCGGAGGGATGCCAGGAACGCCCGAGACTGGCGTGCGAGATGACAACGGTGAGCAACGCACACGCGCCCTGCCGCTGTCCTTCTGTGTGTCGCGTTGCCGAGTGGCATCGGAGTAGCCTCATGCTCAGACGCGCTTTGGGCTGCTCTCGTCACGTGCCGAGGTTCTGAGACAGTCGTGGAACATCTGAGGCAGTCTCTCTCACTACTGTTGACTTCCCAATCCAGCAAGTAAAATTTTTCATGTTTATTTTATATATATATGGATTACGGCCCTAACTTTGACAGCGTGAAGTTTCTACTGAGAGAGGTGAGCATTGTTTGTAATAAGGCAATACAACAGAAAGAGGAACAGATGGAAGCAGTGGACAAAAACATTTGAGATATCATGTTGACTGTCAAGGAACGTAAGTGGCGTTTGGCCAGGACGTACCGCTAGACGAGATGATGGCTAAAGGATGAGACTGGTGATGGAATGTCAGCCAAAAGAGGGAACAAACCCTGGGAGGATGCCCACCGCAGAGATGGAGCGATGAGATTGGCTGCGATGGAGGATCAAGAAAGACTGTGGCATTGCAGGAATGTGTGGCCTTCATCCAGCAGTGGATTTATGATGGCCGATGATGATGAGTGCTTATGAGTCTCTGTGTATTTTTAATGTGACACTTTTAAGCATTCTTTTACCACTCGGTACAGACGTATGTATTTATAGGGGCCATATAGCAAGCCAAGCCAGATGCTAACTTCCGTGTAAATTAAACTATGATAAGACATTAAGATGCAATCCATTATATAATACCTTGCATGTTACCATTACTCTCTTGACTAATTAATTAGCTGGGCAAATTAGAGTATTTGCGAGGCAATGGCTGCCTTTGCCTTCTGCAGATTCCACAAGCGCAGCCTGTAATTACACATTTTTAATATTTGATGGTATTATACAGTTAATTACTGGCAATGAAGAAGGCAGTCTTGCATCAAGATACGTCTATTCCTGTGGAAGGTGATAGCTATATTTCCGTAATTCCGACATTCATAACTGTTGCATTTTCAATGTTAGGCCAACGTGACAACACATTTAGAAGCCCACAGTTCTAAAGAAGCAAAAATGGCACGATGCTCCCAGAGAACAGGCTGCTATTTGGAAGATGCTAATAACCTTCCTCCACCATGGCTACAATGTGAATGTGAAAACCCCCTTGATAGATTCTGAGCTGTAAAAGTAGTATAATTAATATGTAATGATTCATCGTGTTGGCTTGGCTACATTGTTTCCGAGCTCTCTCTCATGCTGCTGTTAACACACACTTCACTAAAATGTACTGCATATATTAGAGCACAATGTACTAATTACCCCTGCCACAATAATGCATGGTAAAGATTATAAATAAACTCATTGAATTATCTTTTAATATTTTTTTAAACGTATATATAGCTATAACAATGCTTCAATATTCCTACCATATTCCAGTCATCGCAGATTCTAGTATGAACTGCTAATGACCAGACTTCATATTCTTTGGGTCTTTCGGGAAAAGTCATGTAGATAGGTTCAAAGAAAATAACAAAAAACTACGACGTTTCGATCACAACACAAAGTGCTCGTTAGCTTCTAAAGGCATTTTCAACCTTGTTGTGATCGAAACGTCGTAGTTTTTGGTTATTTTCTTAGAACCTACCTATGTGACTTTACCGAAAGACCCAAACAATATGAATTCCTGCAGTCACGAAAGCTCTAATTCAACATTTAATGACCAGACCTTTGTTAATTAATTTACTATGCTCTCATTATTCTCTTTCATTGATCCTAAAAAAAAGCAACAATAAAAAATAACAATTATGCACGTTCAGAAATTCCTTTCAAAAGGAAATGTGAAAAAAAAACACCAGCAACTATTGCTATGCCCCTCCTGTGTGTCTGCAAAGGGTGTGTGTGCATGCATGCGAGTTTTCGTTGTCCTCTCGAAGAAAAGTGTTACTGCAGTACGCGCATTGCAGTAGGAGCCCAGTGATATTCGTTTTAATCCCTCTTACGGCAACATCGGTGGCAATTTTTTTTCCACCAATCCTGAGTTCTCCCCTTAAGTTAGCTCGGCCTTAAATTAGTACCCCGGTGCAGTGTGTAGCCGTCAGCACTGTGGAGACGGGCAGCGGGCGCGTGGTTTCTCCGGCCACACCACCTCCTCGTGTGCATCATGCTGCTCAGCAGCACTTGCCCCTACCATCTGTTAAAGGCTACATACGGGGGGTGAGATCTTTACCTTTGTGCGTTGTCGCGTGCCCAGGGACGCCAGACGCGTTCGCAGGGCTCCTCGCCTGCCCCTACTGCAACCGGGGCTACAAGCGGCTCAGCTCCCTGCGAGAGCACATCCGCTACCGGCACGAACGCGCCATCAACGACACCGCCGGCGGCCTCGCCGACAGCCACAAGCAGCAGCGTGCCCAGGTGATGGCTCGCAGCGTGCGCAGGGCTCGCAGCGTGCGCAGGGCACGCACAGTGCCCGACGCACGCACGCACGCACGCATGCCTCCCTCCCCCCGCCTTGTATCCGACAACTAGGTAGGGCATCGCCCGCGGTGTACGAGCTCGCACCAAACGCACCGCCGCTGTCGTTATCCCTGCCCCGTGACTGAAAGATGCGCACCGCGGAAGGAGGACACTCAGGACACAAGCCTTGCTTACCTATGCTCCGATGAAGGGTTATTGCTCCAAATGTTAATCTGCTATATAATTCTCAGATTTTTTTTTTATATATATAACTCCAAATTGACTTTTGTTTGAGCTACTTTCTTAACGAGTTTTTTTTTATCTACTGCTGAAGTAGTCCTCCGTGTCAATGTGCCCTCTGTTCTCCTGATTCGAAGGAAATCCTCACAGACACGGTACACATATATAGCACATAGCTAGATAGATTATTTCTACTCTTCATGCTTTATAGTCGTAACCAGGATGGGCTGTGCGGTTAATTTGAACATTATTAAGAGCTACCTATGGAATTGCTAACATGCTGTTCCATAGATATCTATTTTATTAAGCCTCTGTAAAGTAGTAGGTGGATGTAGGAAGTATGAATGGTGCAAACATGACCTGTGGAGATGGTCATGGCTCAGTGGGAGAGAGTTTCATGGTGGGCAGCAGGGAACAGACCCAAACTCTGAAATGCTATTGAATTCTGATTTGCTATATCTTTGCCAAATCTTCGAAATGTAATTGCAATCCAGCCACCGCCTCGCAACCCCAAATGTTATTTCAGAGAAAAGAAAATCCTCCAGTCTAAAATAAGGAATATGCTTAGTCGGTTGAGCCACTTCCATAGTCATCGCTGTTGTTAAACATTGGATAGAATTTTGGTTGATTCACTTATCAAACTCTTGTTGTTGTGCAATTTCCTCATTGTCAGGGTGTTCTCACATGCACAGAATCCCACGATGTTCTGTGTTACAACATTCTCTTCTTGCCTGCTTTAGAAAAAAGAATACTTTGATTTATTGTGTGACGGTAGCATAATTTTAATATTTGGGCATTTACATTTATTATAAACTGGTTGGGGTTATACAGTTATTATTAGCAATTGCTTCTATGAATTATAGTGAGCATAGATCATGAATTCATTTTTAAGTCCATTACAATTCTTCAGCCTTTTGACAAAGAGGTGCAGTTAATGGAGTTAATTAAAATACACAGTGTTTACATCAGGAAAATGACTCATTAATCAATTCCTTTTTTTAGATCAGTGGGGTTATAAATATAGTTTGTTTTTTTTCAAGGCGGACCCTGGGAATACTGATACATGTGAGAAGTAATTGCTTTAAATGTTGTAATATTGTTTTATATTCTTCGTACAATTTTGTGAGTAGTCGACAGTTGTCTCATGGAATTGCCACAGTAATGTGTAATTACAATCATTGACTCAGCACCACCAGTAGAAGTGAAAAACCACCGTACACTTTATTCAGTGGACTTATTTTAAAAAAAAAATTCGGAAATGTATAGAGACACTTTCAGGGTAGTTTTTTTTACTGGCAGTTGAATGTCACTACTAATCTTTGCAGCGTCTTAAAAGCACGAGCAGTAAAAGAAAATAGTTACTGAAGTTTATATATAACAGTTTGTTCCCAACATCTTTATTTACAGAGTCAATCGCAGAGCACTGGGAACCGGAAATTTAAGTGCACAGAGTGTGGAAAGGCCTTCAAGTACAAGCACCACCTGAAAGAGCACTTCCGCATTCACAGTGGTGAGTCTCCTGGGAGTAGCTCTCAAGTTGAGGATGTGTCTGCTCTCCCTGATAATAATTGGCATTTATTTTAGAAGCAATAAATGTGACACTGCTTATGAGGTGGCAGAACATTGCGGGTCACTTTTCTTTATGGTGTTAAAAAACGGTGTTTCTGAAATGTAAAAGTATATGCATATACACGTAAGTAGAAGTTACGTTGAAATAAAATGGCAATAAACGATTGCATTGGCTCGGATGCACACACACACATAAGCTCATCATGTTCATTATTAACACTGCTTCATAAATGTGATGGACAATACGCCAATCACTTTATACAATGGCTCTCCATATTGCTGGCAAAGGTACAATGCCAAAACATTAGCCAAGTATACATTTTATGTGAATGAGGCAGTTAATGATGAATGTGGAGGGGTTTTTAAATTACGTTCACACAACTTCAGGAAAGAACATGAATGAATGCTTGGTATCTTTTATTCACTTTCAAAGCACTGCTTAGATGATCTTCTGACAGGCGGCGCAAAAAATCGTGACCACTAACCGCGATTCCTTCGCCTGTCGTGCGCAGGTGAGAAGCCATACGAATGTCCCAACTGCAAGAAGCGTTTCTCCCACTCGGGATCCTACAGCTCTCACATCAGCAGCAAGAAGTGCATCGGGGCTCTGCCAGCCAATGGCAGGACACACGGGGGCAGAGCGGGGGCTTCCGCACAGGTGTCCGCAGCTTGCCTTTCCCCTTCCGGCTCCCCGGCCGCTTGCAGCAGCCCGCCCTCGGAGAGCGCGCGACTCGTTTCCACGGCAAGCGCCGTGACCACCGCCAGCTCGGACCTGCACAGAGGCGTGCAGGTGAAGGCGGAGCCGGTGGACTACCCCAACGGGGACTATCGCGCCATGGTGGTGATGGCCTCGCGGGGGCTGTCGGGACTCGCCCCCTTTCTTAACGGCGGCATCCGGGCGGCTCACTGCCTCGGCGTCCCGCATTATGTGGCCACCGCGACCGCATCCGGGGCAAAGTCCGGCGCGCGCAAGACGCCCGAGGTGGCGTACGACCCGTCGCTCGAAAAGCGCAACGGCGACTTTCGAGGCTCGAACGGCAGTGGCGAGATGTTCAAGCGGGAGAACTACTCGACGACGACGACTGCCTCTCCGCCCCACATGTCCGGCGGCGGTAGTGCAGCGGTCGTGGCGAAGAGTGCAGAAGACCCCGCGCGCATGGAAGAAGACCACGAGAATTGCACGCAAAGTGACGCGGAGGAAACCGGCCGGATGACTGTCAAGATAAAGACCGAAGCCGCAGAACCTGAGAGCCATTTGCCGGTGACCAGAGAGAGGCCCTGCTATGCCTGCCAGTTCTGCAGCGAATCGTTCGCAGGCCCCATTCCTCTCCACCAACATGAGCGCTATCTGTGTAAGATGAACGAGGAAATTAAGGCCGTCTTGCAGCCATCGCCACCACATTCCACTTGTCCCACACCCAAGAAAAAGACAAAGAACTCAATCACCTCACACACAGCTGGAAAAGCATTGGTTGGAGGCTGCCATGTGCCCACTATTGATGACCAGCTCGCATTGCTGAAGTCATACCTCTACGCTCGAAACATCGAACCAAGCCCGGAGGAGCTCATAAAGATTTCTCTAGCCATGAGCCTCCCGGGTGATTTGTTGCGGCAATGGATGGACAAGAAAGGACCAGTGACAGATGCTGTACCCAGCTACTGCACATCGGGAAGTTCTCCATCGTACAACATCCAGGAGGCATCACAGAGCCATTCTCCAGCCAGGCAGGGTGTGGGCAGCAGGGGAAGCAGCCCGCTCCAGCGCTCCGGAATGTTCTTGCCGAGCAGTGATGGCATTCCAGCAGCCACAGCACCGACGTCATCCCCGCACGGAGGGAGCGCGTGCGTGAGAAACGGCCACCCCAATGGCCTGACCAACGGGCTGCAGGATCAGTGCGAGCCACTCGACCTGTCCGTGCCAAAACTGAGCCAGGTGAAGAGGAGGGGCAAAGAGTCCCCCCCCAGCCACCGTTTGGGTGGCCACGGTGGAGAAGAGCAGCCGTTAAACTTGACAACCGGCACAGGCGTTTCCAAGTCAGTGTTAAACTCCTTTCATAGTTTGAAGACCTCGCCGAGCCACAGCACCGATGATCTTCCAGAGAATAAGCCTGTTATAAGCGTGGCATCCGTAGCAAGCTATGCTCCTGGTGGTCAGGTGTTCACGGGCTTTCCCCCACCTCTGGGCTTAATGCCGACGCTCCACATGGGCTTTCCAGGGCTGGGGCATTATGGAGGGATGGACACAGGTTCTTTTCTTCCGAGAATCCCGCCCTATGGAGGCTTGGCAGAGGCAGCATCCTTGACTGACGGACAAGACAGAAGAGGCCTGCAGAGACGACACCTCACACAGGTGAGCTGTGCAGACAATAGGTTTTGGGTACCATAGAGATGTGTGAATGCATTTGCCTATGAGAACATTGCATTATTAGTATTAAGTGGCAGACTCCTGTAAAGGCTGGTTATGCTAAACGGAACTTTACCGATATTCTTTGAGATGCTGCTATTTGGCTCTTCGCGTTAAAAGGTCACTTTCACCCTGGTAAAAGCAGTTGTTACCCTGGGGTGACATGGGGGTGATGTACATCCCCATTGGCGTCTCTGGTATGGTCAGTATTTCCATAGAACAGCTACTGTTCGGCTTCCTGCAAAGCGGTGGACATTTTACAGACACTGGTGGGATGATAGGCTGATTAAACTCCCAACCTGGGTTCAAGCTCACGATGTGTCGATTGTGAGTTAATCTCTCGAGCTGCCGACATCATCCGGCCAAATGTTCACACATTAATGCACTGCACACCAGTGGCGGTTTGTGTCTCGAGACATGAGGAGGCCAACGGTAAAGTTCACCTTTGGATTTGCAATCACGGACGATGCGTTCAGGTGGACCAATTGGTAATTTGATTTGAGCACAACGGCAGCGAGCGGACGCGTGTGGTGATGCACCAGCGCTGGGCTCCCACCAGACCAGGCCTCCTGGGAAGCCTCTCGGCCTGCGTGTTGGCCATGCGGTGGAACAAAAAAAATGGCTTTTGTTGAAGCCACCGCCAGTGCATTCCAGTTTCTCACTGGATCCACCTACACGTGAGACTGAAAAACCCGAGGCGGACTTTGTTTCGTCCTCAACCTGGAGTCATAAACTGCCACTGCTGTACACTCAGTGGATATATTTGTGGTTGAATCGAGAAACGTTGCCCTGCGGCTATTTTAACTCAACCGAATGTTGTATCTAATTGGAAGCATTATAGAGGCAACCGTGCTATATATGTGAGGGCATGTTAAGCTTAATTAGCATATATTGGTAGTTTTTACATATCACAATTCACCGGATTGACCATAAAATGAAGGCAGTGGTGTGGGATGCTGTTAATTACTATTTTCACCTTAAGCTCATCCAGCGCAGGCAAAATCTAAGCGTGCATTAACGCCTACCCCTAAACCATATCTGCGACAAAATACGTGTTACCTGTTAATAAATTAGTTTTTGAGACACTTAAATAAAATTCTAACTGAATTAGACATAATTGTGCCATATGTATATTTAACTTAAAATTGCGCCCTATCAGCCCATTTGGCAACTACAAATTAAATGCTTAATACTAACTAAAAAAAAAGCATAACTTACATCACGTTCAAATTCTATGAAATAATTATCAGGGTTTCAATTAACCCTCGCGAACAGGTATAATGTAGCCCTTAAACATAATGAGGCAGCAGTCACTGATGAAAGATGTGATAATGCAGAGAAAAGGGCATTTTGGCAGGGCATTCGAGCATCATGTCAATGCATTTGAATGGTACTGCCAAAAGCATTACTAATTGCAGGCTATTGAAAACTAATTTGACATCCTTTAGCACATTACCTCAGCCCTGATATCCAAAAGTCACACGATTCTGAATGCTGCTAATGGGGTTCTTTACTCAGCGTGGGTTGGATCACGCACATTTCATCATGCACGAAATACTCCGAAGAGCTCAAGATGGTCAGTAGGTAGAAGTACATCGAGTGTGATCCTGACCTATCCTCCTAGATTTTTATTCCTACATTCACACTCGTTAAAATAATTGGCCACACATACCGATGCAGGCTATAATAATTAAATCGCGTACGGCCGGCCCTTCATCCGCCGCTGGATAAAGGTCACGGGGATTTGTTTGAGTGTGCACTTCACGAAGCTACTCCATGTCGGTTGATCAAGAGGGTGGAGGGTAGCCCAACAGGACCAGATCAGATATCACGTTTAGATTACTTAGATAATTTCCCTGCTTTAAATTTGCACGCGATAAGCCACTTTGTTGAGCCGTCATTTGTGGACCAGGTCGCTTCTGAAAAATACGTTAATAGCTCCGTAGGCTTAACCCGCTAAGAAAAACAATAGTTTAGTTTTATTTGTATATTTTTTTAAAGTGATTTGTTAACCTTGCCTATACTTTGCACTCCTATCGTGTTGTTGTACTCTTTGTTGTTGTAACGTTCTGAGCCACCCCGACTGGACATCAGTCAAAAAGAGCTTTGTAGGTCATCTGATTCCTCCAGTACGAATAAAATATTATGATTCTGATCACTCACCACTGATGTTACCCATTGCCGGGTATCAAACTTAGGTCGCGGGGCTTATAACGCAGTGTTCCAACTACTCTTGTCACCACTCCATTGCAAGGCCCTTGTGAATAAGACTCGTTGAGTCATTTATGACTTCAAGAAAATATTTTCGTAAAACGAATAAAAGAGACTCCTTTAAATCTGTCATCAAGTTACTGCAAAGGCTTAGCAAACATGTGTGTGTGCCAAATAACAGACCGTTTGTGATGTCCACGCGATGAGTTCGAGATAATCATGCTTGTCATCGTGTCTGGACAGGCGGATTCGCCAGAAGAAGGCATGGGGAGTCCTTTGGGCTCAGATGAGGTGACGGACTCCGAGTCGGGTCTCTCTGTGCGCAAGCGTCAGAAGAAAGGGGAGAGTGCACTGGGGGGCTCGTACTCCTGTGACCTGTGCGACAAAACCTTTCACAAGAGTAGCTCGCTGCTGCGGCACAAGTATGAACACACGGGTATGTCTCATCGCGTGTGCCGCCTTAAGCAAAGCGTATCGCAGCAGGCCTTCACAACACCATTTCTTAAACGTGCCTTTGCGTCGCGATGTCACTGGCAGCATGACGAGCTGCGATCTTGATTCATGGACGGAATTGTAATGTCGTCTTATGAAATTTTTTTTTTTAAAGAATCCCAATTTAAATGCTGGAGTTACTGTTTTGCATATTCATCTGACAAATTAGGTAATTGATTCATGATCCATTTTCATGTGATTAATAATGTGCTTAAATTACTTTTCATTAGCCACGTGAAAATAATATCGGGTTGCTCGAACGCCTGCGATACCGCTTTGCAATTGAAATATTTGCTTGTCCACTGATTATTAAATTGTTATTTACACAAATGCATATTGGTGCTGTGTCTTCCTAAAAATAATATCGCTCGTTATGAAAGTCACCTAAGCGCGTGGCACTTTCTACCTCCGATTAGTACGGTTGGCTACGTACGGTGCAAAAGAAGCACATCGCATTACAAAGATCGCCTTTCGTGAACGGGAGTTCTAACACGACGCTCGATTTCCCTCTTTTTTCAAATCCTTTATATTAAGTTCGCTTGCTTGCTTGCTTGCGTGCTTGCTTGCTTGCTTACGACCGTGCAAATTTTTCGGTCGTTTTTTAACCCACTTCCCGTGATCCAATCGAGCTGACATTTTCCACACAGACTCGTTGTGCGTGACAATTAATTTTCGTGAAAAAATGTTTCCAAAATTTTCCACTAATTTAGGGAAAAAAATCATATTTAATTTAAAATACCAATGTGATAAAAATGAAACTCTTACTCAAGAAAAACAGAAATGAATAATAAAATAAAATCGATGCCACACATATAAAGAATTTATAGTGAAAAACGTTGTTTTTACGGGTTAATTTTATGCATTTCAGGCAAGCGTCCGCACCAGTGCGACGTGTGCAACAAGGCGTTCAAACACAAGCACCACCTCATCGAGCACTCGCGCCTGCACTCGGGGGAGAAGCCCTACCAATGCGACCGTTGTGGCAAGCGCTTCTCGCACTCGGGCTCCTACTCGCAGCACATGAACCACCGCTACTCCTACTGTCGGCGCGGAGAGGGCGACCGGGATGGCGAGCCGAGCATTATGGGATTGGAGCGAAGCATTATGGGAGAGGAGCGCAGCATGCTGGGGGAGGAGCAAGGAATTGTGGGAGAAGAGCTGGGCATTCGGGGAGCGCAAGAGGATGCCTCGGTGGTGGAGGATGCCGACAAGGGGGCGGTCGGACAGGAGGAAAGCATGATGGAAGAGGAGGGAGGAGAAGAGGGGAGTGCCACAGAAAATGGATCAAAATGTTCCCAAGAGGAGGAGGCGTGGGGAGAGGAGGAAGAGCAGTGTGCGAAGGTGAATGATTACGAGCGACGGGGCTTTGAAGACGCCGCAGACGAGGAGGCCGAGGAAAAGTGTTCCGAGGCAGCAGCAGAAGAAGAGAGAGCAGGTAATGAAGATGAGGAAATGGAGTTGAGCGGGGAGTTGGACAGAGGCATACAAGTAGGACAGACGCAAATAAAGTGTGAAGATGACGACGACGACGACGACGAAGATGATGAAGAAGATGCAAGCAGCAGCTTAGGGGCCTCTCGATGATTTTCCAGCTCCTTGTTGTTGGAGCCGTCTCACTGGCCTAGTGGCCCAAGACTACCATTATTGTTCTAACCATTGCTGTGCCTCAGCTGTCCTCTTAAGTTGTTTTTTTTTCCCCTTGTTGAGTGAAAGGATGTGCCAGTGATGTTCGAGCGAATCAATGTGCCAGTGTTGTTTGAAAAGCATTTGATTGCAAACTTGCCATATCGGGCTAAACTTCTTGCAATTCAACAGGCTCTCTTGGACTTTGTTGGACTTTTGGTTTTACAAAAAGAAAAAAGTATGATGTACCCTAACCTGTTAATGTAGACATTTAAACATAATACTTTGATCAGTGTATGGTAGATTTTATTTTGACGTTGTTAAGCCTGAAGGATAAAATGAAGAGAAATTACCTTAAGTGAAAAAGGTAGAAAAGCCTTTAATATGCAGAAATTTTTGTACCATTTTTATCTGTGTGCCACTCTTTTGTAAAAGCAGTGTTATTTTTTAGGCAAGCCAGTTTAAGTAGCTTATACTTCCAACACTACATCAGTATTCAGTTCATGACATGCACCGGCGTTATTTTATGTAGCCAGATTTTGTGCATTGTACATTGTTAGTGCAATTTCACATTGTCGCCATTACACTAAGTTTTCAAATTAAACTCCCAAATTAGTGGTTATTTTTCTTAAACAATGCTTCGATAACTTTTCTATTTATGTTTCTTAATTGTTGTTTTCATCTCTGTAATTTATTTCATACTTTAGAGTAAACTAGATGGTTTTATAAATAGATGCTAGAATTTTATGCAGTTCATGGAGAAAAAAATGTTTCACTCTTCTCCCCGTGATAATGTACTTGCCGTAACATTTACATGCAGTGTTAACCTCTGTTTTTTAAATTGTTGTTTATCTGCCCAACAGTATTTCCCAGCTGCCCAACCCTTTTTAATGACCTTACATTTCATCGCAGTTTGTTTACTGATGCAGCCAAATGGCTGACACTTGAATTTGTAATTTTAACTGTGGAAATAAATACCAGCCACAAAAGGCCCCCTTGTAGCACGTTACTTTTCCCCTCTAACCATTCGGTCTGTGCTTTTACTCTCAGCTTGGGTTTCAGTTGCCAGGACATCTTGGCATAATAATAATAATAATGTATCAAGCCAAGGGTAAAGTCACTGCTTGCCTGCCCAATGCACAGCCCGTTAGCGATTAACCAATCCCCATCCCGCACCTCCTCCTCTGCTAAGCATCACTTTGGTTGTGCCTTCTGTATATCAATTGTTATTTTTGTTCATTTTTCCCAAGCCAATGTGTCCTGTTGACCAAACCCCATCTGCTGTCAATTTTTTTTTCTTTGCTAAGTTTTGGATGGGCCAGAAATGTCTATATTTTGACTTGTTTCGGCATCACCGTTATACAGTATTAACATTTATTTAATTGACAATAAACTTTCCGAAACACCTCTTCATACTCCGGGTCAGTCTTCTCAGTTTCTCGAGGTGAGATTGTTGAGTGCCAAAGGAGCAAAAAAAGCCGCTGCTTATCTTTTTTACTTGATTACAGCAAGCGTGCTGTGACGGTTCCACCCGAAGACGGAAGCTTGTGTTGCCTCCGAAACGTCGTGATTTTTATTTTATTTTACTTTTATTAATTTTGATTTTTTTACCTACCTGACTTTACCGAAAAAAACTAAGAATACCGCTGCTTATCCACTGCTACTTGCCGAGGTAAGTAATGTTAAGGGCAAAGGTTAATATGTAAGAAAAAAAGGACCAAACCTCTGCGCTCCCATGATCGAGCACACCTGCATTTTATTACTCGTTAAACTTAACACACTATTTTAATGAGGCATGTAATATGCACCCTGTCATACTATCTTGACATGCGGATAGTTCACAGGCTCACAAAAGCAATTAAGAAAATCCCTCTGATGTGTTTCATTTAGTAAGTTTTCAAAAATTCTGTCGGCACCAGTGAGAGCGAAGTTAAAATAATTGATCTAAAAATATCTATGAAAAGTGCCATATGATAACGAGCTCATTTCCATCAAAATAAGCGGCTGTTAGTCTCTAATAGTTCTGCACACTCGCTCCCTGGTAGAGAGGAAGAGAAACCCTTGACGCCGAAATGGCCTCGTGTTGAACTTTTGTGTCCGGGGAGCTAATAACATACTGAACATATCGGACGAATAATTTTAACAAATTTTGTAATGGTCCAAAATGTTACATTTGGAATACGGTTACCGTTTGATTAAAATTTTCATAAACAGCATGTTTGTTTTAGGGCTCATATCGTGTATTTGTATTAACTCTGAAATGGTTTAAAGGTCACATTTTCTTTCAAATGAGGCAATGTACTTTACCAAATCTCTTCCAACTTCACCCTCAAAATATTTTAAGACTTAACATTTTCTCAATATCTACATTTTGTTTTTAAGTAGTACCACAGTTTCTGGCAGGTACACATGTACAATGAAATACAAAATAAAATGCAGGTCGCATTCCCGAATTGCTTCATTCACGACCGCAGACTAAAAAGTCTACTCCCGCGCTGAAACAAAAATCCTTGTTTCCCCAAGCGTGATATGAACTACGTAGACGCACGGCCTCGGGTCTGATCTTCTTTTCGCGAGACACCCGTGTGCTGGCTCCGTTTCAAGACTTGCGTGCTGCTACGGTGGAGTGTGGAGGGGGTGGCGTGCCTGCTCCTCGTGTCTGCGGGGGCATCCGGAGGAGGCGTTAAATGCCCGACATTAACACGTGGCCGCTCGACACAACCGTTTGGGGGACGCGCGTCTCCGTGATTCGCCGCATCCGAGAAGTCTCTGCAATTGCGTTGCGAAGCATGCGGCAAGGGGGCGCATTGTACTATTGCATCATAAACATCGTGGGGGGTAGGGGGGTGTAATATCAACACTGCAATCGAGTTGTAAGTTTTTTTTTTTAAGCGCACGTAGTTTTAATGGGACCCTTAAAACAAACATAAATTCTGTGAGATTGTTTTAACAGCATTAATATTTGAACCACCTGATTCAATTATAAAATATTATTTGAATGTAAAGGCTCTTCAATCATGTCTATAGTACTGTATATCCAGATTTAGTGCAGATTTAGGGGCGCTGCAGTGGCGATACGTTTCCTACCATTGCCTGGCATACAGGAGGTCGTGGATTCCATGACGCTTGCAAATTTGGAGTTTGCATGTGAAGTGTGAAGCCGGTTTTTTTTCCTTCCACATTTAGAAACATGCGTTTATAGTATTTGGCTGCTATAAATTTCCACGTGATAAGCCACTTCGTTGAGCTTTCATATATGGCCAGGTCGCTTCGGACAGAGAGTTTCATAGTTGAGTGGGCCTTACCTGGTAAAATAAAAACAAGTTGAATAGTTTAGTTTATCACTGCAGGCTCATCTCTCTACAGCCAACGGAGAAGTTAGGGATACATAATCTAGCTTCCTCTTTGTGTTTTCTAGTAGGACTGTGTGTTGTTCAGCATCATGTCCGATGCCTTACACTGCCATGCACTTGGAAACGTCTTCAGTTTCTGAGAGCTCTAAATTCCTGAAGAAGCTTCGAACACGTGGAACGAAACGTCGAACGTCACGCCGAGCAACACGCAGTAAAAATCTGACAATACATCGGAGATCCATAAGCACAAGCGCGGAAATCTATGCAGTAACTAATATGTATTTACAGAAATGTCTTCTCCACTGATATTCGGCAGAAATACATGCAAATCACGCAAGAAGCAACAATTTGTCCTGTTTTTTACCCCACCAAATGTCATTGCAACCCGTTCTTTTGCCAACGTGTAATGTGGGAGCATCAACATCACTCTCGTATCGCAACAGCATAACGTTACAACACAGAATTGTCCTAAAAGCAAAAACAAGACGTGTATATTTATTTATTTATTCCACCACCCCCCACCCCACGCCACACAAAATACATTGAGGGCATGGGTCCCGGTGCTCATTTGTTGCCACTAAAGGCTCACGGCACCTGTGGCCTCGCGTGGCCACCGCTGCCGTTCTTCTTCCTCCTCTGCGCGCACCTTGCGAGCCACGGTCACAAGCAGCAGGGCCCCACGCGTCTGCGCACCTGACCACAAACCTGACATTTGTTTTCATCTGCCGGGAAACAAAAGTCCCTCGCAGCAGCAGCAGCAGCTGTCGCCTGCTTGCTGCCTCCTGTAGAAAACGGCAACGTAGCACGCGCAGATGTGTTATCAGCCAGCAGACGACGGGGATAGAGCGTGAGGGGCAATGCCTCAAGGCGTTGTTGGGGGGCCCCCCCACAGGACCCCGGCAGCATAATGAGGCCGCCTAGAGTGCTGCACCGGAGGGGGGTGGAGGAGGAGCGGGCAGGGGTTCCTCTCCAGGAGGTGCCACGAAGTTGGAGGTAACGCTCTCGCTCCCCTTCGTATCTCTTCAAGTGGGAGAAGCACGTGGGCTCGCAGCGTCACCTTTTCGGTGGTCCCACAGGCCGAGTTTAAAAGGGCAAATCTGTGGGATTTCGCCTGTGTGCCGTGTCAACCTAATTCCTAGTGACATCAAAGCCGTGGAACAAATCTCTCTCCCTCTGTGGCAAAACAAAAGAGTTACAATGGCAGCGGTGCTCGGGCAATGAGAAAGCTTTCCCAGAAATCGAGGCTTGTGGTGGGGAGGGGAAGGGTGGCAGGAGCAGAGGGGCGGAGGGAAGGGGCATTTCATGGCTCTGGTCCTCAATAAAGGTTAATTGCTACATCGTCGATTCACTTTTACAAGTGCGGGCGTTCGGAATGGGGGCAATGCGTGAATGCATGGACCCTGAGAATGAATTGCGTGTCCCTTTTTTTTCCTCCTCCACCGATAATAAAGTAAAAATGCAGTGCTTAATGTGCTTGCAGCTTGACAGGTCCCTGTAATTATACTGTTGCTAGTGCTCATTAAGAAATGCCACTCACCTTTAAATGCACAATCAGTTGTCAGGTGACATCCCCACAGATTAATATTCTAAAAAAAAAACCTGCTGCGGATGACAGTGGCGCAACTGTTAAGTGAGACATGAGTCATAAATAATCCAATATATGCCCTATTGTGTGGCTGAGTTTTAATGATCTACAGCAATGAGGTGTGCTCAAATGCTTGTTAATCAGCCGCAGAGTGTACTTCTCACGAATAACAGTATCGCTTCTTGTAGTGCCATTGATTGTTTTGTGTCGTCTGATTGCTTTCGTGCCAGCCAGTCTGTTAACTATGAGGCGGACGATGCAGCGTGGAGCGTAATGGAAGAGTCGGGGCTCGGAATGCGAGGCAATGCATCAGCAGTGGTGCAATTGTCAATGTACTGAGAGCAACGGCATTGTGTTAACATAGAAGTGTAGGTAGAAAAGTGTTGACAGAACCGAGAGTCTTTTACAATTCTCCAATTGCTGATGCACAATTCCCCATTTCTGGTGCATTGATCCGAACGCTCACGAACAATGCGTGATTACGAAGACTTTTACAGGCCAACTTTTTTTTGTGTTCGCTTCACAAAAGGTGAAAAAGCCTCGAGGCTCAGTGGATGCACTAAGCTCACACCGCTAAAGTGTTGCTCGGAGGAGCAAGCGGACTTTATACATCATGAATGCAGCGTCGTTTGTACAGCGGCACCGTCTCATGCCGGCGTTGTCTGGGTGTTTGTAAAGCCACCGAAAGGAGTTATCTCTTCAAGGAGCACTGTGTCGGAAAGGTTTACGCTGACTCGTTTCCAGAACCCGCAGCTGGAATTAAATCCCAGTGGCTGTGATGAGCCCTGCAGAAGCCGGCAAAGATAGATTCATTAGAGGGCACGATCTCTGACAATGCGCTTCTTTGACCAATTTGGCAATTGCACAAGGCCACCAAAAGCTGTGATCAATCCACTGCTGGAGTAAGGGCTTCCCCAAGCCGTGGACATCTCTCATGCTTTTGCGAGGCAACAATCCATTTAACACGTGCAAATACACAGATTTTTATTCATATTCATATAACACATATGACACAATAAATGTTTGTGCAGCAGATTTTTTTTTTTGCAACCCTATGCAAGAAGGAGGGGGAAATGCAACCCTTGTACTTAAATCAATTTCCCAGCTGGAAACCGGTACCTGTTTCCCCAGAATTAGCTTCTGAAACCTGAGGGACACTTTGCCGATCAACTTTCAATCTGACACTGTACTGCGTCGTTCAAAAGCTGTGTTTTTTGGGACCGTTGGTTTTTCTCACTGCGCATCAGCGACCTTTTCAAATCGCCATCAAGCGTAACACAAGCGTGCATAAAAATGATCGGAGCGTCTTCGTGCATCGCTTTGGCACACGCCGAAACGCCAGAGACTCCACCAGGGGTTAATGGACCGAGTCGACTTTTGAGGTTAGTTCAAATGTGCACATGTTACGAGTCACCCTGTGAGAAACGGCTTTCACCTACTTATAAATGTGACTCGCCCAACCCAGAGGTGTAACA